ACATAATTAAAATACGCTTTATTGTGTAGATTGTAGACCTTTTCATGCTGCATTTTGTGGTATATTTTGTTTTTTTAATAGAGCGTATTAAGTGGTGGAAAAATGAAACGCAAAAGTGGTCCATATACATGTATTATGTGCCAACTATTATTTTTGGGATATCGAGAAAACAAGATTTCTGGAATGTTAACCTATATTTTCGAAGATCTTCCAATCTCACATCTTTTTCTTAAAATAATTACTAAAAAGAAAAGACTTTATGAGACAAATTTCTATAGACCTCGACTGAACTATGAGAAAAGAATTCGCTAGAATAGAGACCACCAAAATTAGTGTAGTATTCTTATGAATTCCATCTCCACTACATCATCTTAAATATCGACCCTAATTGCTTTAATTTTACTAATCGTATTAAATTCACTATACAGAGTTCATAGTTGACATCTGAAAATGAAATTCATTTTCATAGATTTTTGCGGACTATTAAAACGTCCTGAACAAGAAAATAAAGCATTACTTTAAATACTACTCTGATCAAATGCGAAATCGAGCCATCGAGAGTGGCAGTTCATGTAGGGATGAAAACGATATACGGTGAGTTGTTGCTAAAGGTTCACTTACAGCATCTCAATAGAAAGATCCACTCTTTTGAAGAAATGGTCAGCTTTTGCAAGATTATAAAGAACTCTTTTGTATAAATGTGTGTGTTTTCAGCGATAGTCTTCAAAACAGAATCCAGTAAATGAAGGGATACGATGGTTAAATCAAACTCACTAAATTACCAAGCGGGCCATGGTGACGAAAACTATTTACTCTTTCATAGGTGCATAGCAGCACATTAGTTCTGATCTTCCTCTTCTTGAATACCATATGTTCAACGAAATCACATTCTTTCAGTAGAAGGTTAGCGGCGTTTGCGTCGTGTTACTTGTTTTTACCACTGATAAAGGAGTAGGTATAGCCAATATTCATGAGGGAAACGTTGCCAAAAATTGTTTTGAAGTAGTGCAACTAACTTCAACGAGAAGCTATAATATTTTCCCAGTTATGAAAAACCAATATATTTATTCCCTTAACCAAGAATAGACGACATATAATTTTTTCGATTACTTCTTCATGCTAGTGTTGTTTTGTCTCATAGTTATACTACAGATATATGTTTTGTTATTCAGTGTACTCTGAAAGTTTCAACCATTGACAAAACTGCAATATTGGTTTTCCATAAATCGTCAAAGGTCACAGGTTTTTGTTGAAGTTAATTGTGCTATTTCAAAACAATTTTTCACAACGTTTTCCTTATGAATATGAGCTATGGCTACTCCTTTATCAGTAGTAAAAATATTAACCTATTTGGTCAAAATATGGCAGAGATATGTATTCAAACTTTTCTTTGTTTTATTACTTTCTGGACATCCTATATATATAGACATCTGTTTGGCAATAAAGGGAGAATTCAGTGTTTGATCTGTTAGATCAATCACCCGTTAACATGTCCTATCACATAGGACGCAAATTCTTTAATCTCATTTCAACTACTATATATATGCAGACGGTTCGCATAATGTCATGTTGCTCTTTTTATGTTTACTATTTATTCATGCATTTGATTTTAGTCAATCAATCGAACAGAAGAAATCATTCTTTTCCTTTCCTGTTGCGTATGAGCTATCTGAAGAAGACACCAATGTATGTAAAATGATACTTTGAACTTCCTACTATTATTGTTCTTTCTAGAGGGATATCTCAATAATTCTCGAAGTGTATATTCGAAAATGAAGACGAGAACTATTCAAGCAATCTCATAATCATACATATCTTCATAGAGAGTCAAGGTGTTCTCTAGACGTTTTTTGTTTTCTTTTTATTTCTCCTAAAGGTAATTATGATTAAATTGTTTTTATTTGTGACCTAAAATATGTCTAGCATACAGGAAGCTTGTGATCGAAAGAAAGGTAAGAATAATTTGAATAGTCTAACCGTTGCACATATTTCCATCAACAGACAAGATTCCATGCAGTTTTATTGGCTAAGTATAATTGCAAATATATCATTTAGATAATATGAGCTGGGAATTTAACTGTAAAGGATTGTCCATGCGAATGACTAAAGTATCCGGAAATTCTTTTTCTCAACAGTAAAATCGAAAATAACCCTTACCGCTTTGAATAAGTTTGGCTGCTCGCTGTTCGAAACGAGAAAGTTTTCTCACAGTTCGTATGATGACTCTGTATTTTAATATATAGTTTTTAAGAACTGTGAAAAGATCGACTTCCATTTTAGACCGAAATCATCGATAAATAACTCAGTGGAATATATTTTTATTGTAATTGATTGATTGTATATATATTTTGTCAAGTGTTCTAAAAGTTTCAATCTATAACTGTATGTTGGTTTTCCAGATTTTTCTGTGTTCAATACGTACTTCTATTTGATTGGGATTTTTGCATTTGTTTGTTGATTATTATGTAAAAACTCCGCAATTGAGTGTTTCGATGATAGCAATAGCCTTTGTTGAAAAGATGCTTGAATTTAACTGCTGTCATCATCGGCGTCATCTGTCATTACAGTTACATGGCATTTCCACTGTTCTCTGTTGTTTACACGGAGTACTATTAAACTTAAACAAACACTAAAGTTGTTCGCTACTATCCATGCTCGAAAATAAAGATGTTTCAGTAAATACATGATTACATCTTTTAAAACTCGTCGATGCATTTCGAAAACGAACGATGAAAGTCTTCACTTGATAACCCGAAAGGACAAATGTTGATAAGGCAAGTTTTTTGTCTACGATATTTCTTTTTTGAAAAGAGTGATATATTCTAAATCAGCATTAAATTCTGAGTAAAATAGGATATTTTCTTCTGTCAAAAAACGAATTTCATTTTTTATCTGTCGTTTTGGCATCTGTGGGGAACCCTAGGACTGCTATTTATTTTTCTCGTACTTCATTCAATTGAGGATCATTAGACGTGAGGGTGTGGATGTGAGATGTAGGTGTACGTGTGCGTGTGACTAGAGCTAAAATTTACACCCACACCCACGCCCCTCATTCTATTATCTATTTTATTCTTCTGAATCTTCAGAAAAACCATAAAAACGAAATGAATTGTCTTCTGCAAATCCATTGAATTCATGAGAATGTCAGCGATAAACTTTTTATTTTCTAGGATCGATTTCAATAAATATTGAATGTGGATTTTTGAACAGCTGAAATTTTGGGATGGGTTTTTTTCAGAAAGTGAATCTTTGCCAGACCATGGACCACCACCATACACCAAACGTATAGAGTCGTTCACAGGAGCATCCGAAGTCGGTATTCATCAACCTGAGTGGAAAATAAAATTGAACCGCAACACTTCAGTTCTGCGCGTAGCAATTATACTCATTACAATGCTTAGAAAATGGTTGTATTCGACGTATTTTTTTTTTGGAAGGATTGGATCATGAATACATAATAGTGTCGTTTTATTTATTTTTGTTATCATCGAGTCATTATCACTGAGTGGCGCGATAAATGACAACGTGTCGTTAAATATTTGATATTCTGAAAAGACCATTACCTTTCTTTACTATATCTTCGCATTCATTTTGAGTATTTACAGGTGTGATATCGTCTTCTTCATGGATGCGAAGGGACCAAAGTTTATAAACTGCAACGGGTATTTACTACCATTTGCTTTTTCAGCTGATAAATTTGATTCTGCTTTGAAATTCGTTCCCAAGCCAAACACAATTGTAATTTGTACCTTCCCCAAGTGTGGAACAACGTGGATGCAAAATATCATATATTTATTACTGCATAATGGAGAACCATTTCCATCGGATTTGAAGATGAACGAAGAAATTCCATTCTTGGAAATGAAAGGCAGCACCTATTGTGAGAATCATGCCGTGGTGAAAACACATCTACCGTTGAATATGTTGAATTGAAATGAGCAAGCAAAGTACATCGTAGTGGCATGCAACCCAAAAGATTGCTGTGTTTCCTACTTTTATCATACTCGTGGTTTTGTAACTCTCTACGATTATGCACATGGGACATTTGACGATTATTTCCCACGCTTTCTTAATGGACACGCTGGTTCTGGTGATTATTTTGATTATTTTTCATCATGGCAGTCTCGACTTAACGATCGAAACGTTTTTTTCTGTACCTATGAGCAACTCATTTGTCATACAAAAGAAATCATAGAACGACTCGCTCTATTCCTCGAAATAAAAATCGACGATAATATTTTGGAAAAAGTACTTCACCACTCTTCCTTTGAGTCAATGCAGAAAGATGTTCATCGTTGGACCAGTGAACGACCCAAACATATGCCAGGATTTGTCAGAAAAGGTGAGATTGGTGACTGGCGCAATTACTTCAATGAAGAGCAATCCAAACTTATCGACATGAAAGTTGAACAATTTCCTTTGATGAAAACACTTTGGTCAAAATATATGTAATATGCTCAATCTGAATTCATGCTGTCTCCCTTATGAACTTTATAATAAAAAAAATAAATCAATGATTCTCATCTCTCTGAATGCAGAACTTAAATTCTATATGAAAAGCTCAGGAGTTCGCGGCTTGGAC